GTTTTTATATCACTACCCATGGCTGAGCACCACATAGAGTAGTAGTTTTAGAACAATGTTATGTTAAACACTCATCTTTAACATGGGACTATCACTTAAAATGGAGAGATACACTGTCAGAACTATATGGGAATGAAAACCAGTTAAAAGAATAACAAAGTGTCCCATTTTATGTCCTTCTGAAACTTGTAGATGAGTAATATGCAAAGCTACACCATTTGCATCATTATTATTATATGTTTATATCTTTCTTTTTTCTATCTCTTTCACGCACCACTCCAAATTTGAAGAGTTGACTGTGAAATGTAAAAATGCGCAAATATTGCAAAACTCCCATGTATGAAAATCCTTTGAATATCACAATGTGTTATACAAATGTAATGTATGCCTACCTTTGACATAAATAAATTACATGAAATACAGTAAGGAAAGAGGAACACTGTAAAAATAGAGGAATATTTTAACTTATCTTCTAGTTTCCTTGAAAATAAAAGAAAGGAAAAAGCTCCTTTTTTCTCATATTCCTTTATTACAGTGAATACTCAGATGAAATTTATGGCCTGTCTAGGTGCTGGGGTAGTATATATTTAGAATAAGAAAAAGGAGAGGAAAGGTCACTTCACTTCATTATGATTTCTCAAGTTCATCTCACTTCTGTAAAAGCAAGAATGAAAAATCATCATTCCCAGAAGTGCAAACCTAACCTGACTGAAAAACGTCATCCTACCTGTGTACTCTGCAATCCACATGGTTGATTTTGACATTTTTCCTACCCATTCAATGGTACCTCAATACATTTTATAAATATCTGTGCATGAAGTTTTCAGGCACATAGATAACTAATCCAAAGCAAAATGGTAGTGCTTATCACATTTCCTCTAAAGCCACGGCATAAGCTAAACAATTAACAGGATTCTAAAAGAAGAGCTATACTGACCTGATATTGGTTGTAAAGATGATTTAAAAATGCATAGATTTGATTTAAAATTTATTGCTTAAAATGTCAAATATTGTAGGTACTCACCATCAAATACAAAATATCAATTTGTTAGGTATACCAAGAAAACATGTATCTGGTCATGTTTTTAAGTGATATCTTGAAAATTTTTTCATGTTTTACTATGTACTATGTGCTTTTCATTCATGGAGTTAATTTGTATTTACCTCATTTGTAACTTTTGTATCCCAATCTTAAATTATGATGGAAGGTTAAGAAAGAAATATCATTGTTATTAAAGAATTTGAAAAAGAATTGCTACTATTGGTCATTTGCCCAAAAATAAGCAAAGCAAATAAAATACTATTTAAAAGGCCTGGAGCAGTTAAATGTCATTAGAAATCAGTAGGCATGTCTTTCCAGGCCTCAGGCTGGGATTGGAGATATTTTTAAAAGAAGAAGGGAATTCAAACAAGGAAGCAAATTGCAAAATTCTGATCTAAGATAAAGGATAATGACATCTTCACAGAGTGATACAGATCCCATGTTTTTGCAATACCTATTTAAACATTAGTCCATTAAAATTTAATTTATGTTTATAGTCTTAATCATAAGTGAATGTATGGTTCTTAAACCAGGGATTAACTTAATTTCATGTCATCAAAAATATGATTTGCTTAATAGTACTTTGCCTGTTCTAAAAGTGTCTTTTCACAGCAGGAATGCATATTTTTCTCTTATCAGTCTTCTTTATTTTAGGTAAAAAAAAATAAATTTGTGCTTCTCTCTGTATAATTGAATATACAACTTTAATTTCCCCAATACTTAAACGTATATGAAGTAAAATTAAGTTCAAACTGTCCCTGCCAGAGATGCTGAAAAACACCATAGTGTTAAAAAAATGACCATTTTATAGCAAGAGATAATATTCTAATTATGAGTATTAAACCGAGTCATTCTCATGATGCTTATCTAAACAATGTGATAAATTAATGTCGTGGCTAATATTTCTAGCAAAAACAATTATACATGAGGGAGACTGTGGCAGCCATTTTTGAAGATGGCATCTGATGATTCTACCCTCCTGATACTCATGCCCCTTTGCTGCTCCTCCACACACACACACACACACACACACACTGATTAGGATCACCCTGTGTCATCAATCAAGTGTTGCAGAAATGACAGAGCATGACCTCTGAGACTTGATCATAAATGGTATGGTGGCTTCCAACTTGCTTTCTCTTGGATCACTAACTAGTTCTGGGGTAAGTCAACTGCCACGTCACGTTGACAGTCCATCAGTCCTGTGCTGATTGTGGAAGAAGTCCACACAGCGATTAACTGAGCCTGAGGTCCATAGCTAGCACTAATGTGCCGCTATGTGAGTGAGCTACCTGGAAGCAGATCCTCGAGCCTTCAAAAGACCAGGCCCAGGTGACTTCTTGACTGCAACCCAATGAGAGATCCTGTGTCATAAACATACAGCTAAGCTGCCCCTGATTTCCTGACCCAAGAAACTGTTTCAGGTAAGGAATGCGTACTATTTTGAGTTGCTAAATTTTGGGTTAACTTGTTACTTGAACTCCACTTGAAGATTTGCAAGAGTTCTTAGGGCCAAATCCCAGCTCTGCCACTAACTGTATCAACTTGTGCACATTTTTAAAAAATACTGTTTTTGTTTCTCCCAAGCAAGATGAAGAAAATAATAGTATCTCTCTGATCATTTCATGATAAAAATAAACTGGTTAATAGTTGTTAACAATTTAGAACACTGCTTGTCACATGGTAGGTGCCTGTTAGTTTTTCATTTTGATGAGCTAAATAGTTGAATAACCTGGGCTCTGTAATCAGCATGGTAGACCCACTTAGTGAGTCTACCAACTACTCAGAGACTGGAATCTTTCTTTATACTAATTCCTACAAATATTGAAATATGCTTTACTAATAATATTGAGAAGAATTTATATATTCTAGTGGTGCTTGAGAATTTAAGTATATACTCAACTATAACCCTAACAAATGATAAATGTACACTTTTCTCTGAAATGAAAATATATTTGCCTTTTACAAGTGCATTTGATTTTCACAGCTCCTAGATTTTCTGTAGGCATGTAAGTGTATTGCCGAGGGACATTGGGGAAAATCAATGTACCTTTTATAGGAGTGATTTTAAACTTCTTTGAAAATCTAATAAAAACTATAGTCCATCTCAGTAGGAAGAAAATCACTGAAGTTATGATTTGAGCATCAATTGGCATTTTGCTATATTTTCTATGGGCCAAAAAGTGAAGTAAGGATTGTTGTAGACTTTTTTTTAATGATTGCTGTATTTAGGAAAGGAAGAATGAGAGAGAGAGAGAGACAGAGAGCGCACCTGCACAAAGAAGAGAAACCCAAAAAACCAAATACGCAAAAAACAAATTTAGGACATTAACTCATAAAATTTCGGGAGCAAAATGGACTTTAACAAATGAGCTTTCACTTGCATGACTGGGAATAACTGTTAGCTTTTAGGAAAGGAATGATACAAACTTAAAAGTTACTTGGAAAGATACATAAAATAGTTTCTCACTATTTAAAAGAATAAATAGTGAGAAACTATAAATAGTTTCTCACTTTTTAACACATTTTCTTATGGAGAACCAAGGGCGGTCAGGGAGCTGACCAAGGGTGGTCAGGGAGAGTGAGGCAGGTGTGAAGCTGCAAGGATATACTAGAGAAGAGAGACTTCTAAACAGGCAGAATGAGGTTCCAGTCACCTATCCCATATCTACCATAACATTTTCACTACTGAAAGTGTTCGGTACTGAAAGTAACACAATGAAATTGTTACTTCCATAGATATTACTTTTGAGGCCTCCATGTAACGTTGCATTTGAATAAAGAATTTCATAACTTTCAACAGATTGCAAATCACTTATCTTGATGATTGTCCATAAAGATAACTACAGACTGAAAATATCTCAACCTGGATAATCAGAATTTGAGAAAGGTCGCATTAGCAGATACATAATCTTCTAGGGTGTGGCAAGGTGACCTGAGAGAGTTGTACCATTTATCTTATTCTAAATACATAAAAATATGGGGGCTTCCATGAAGCCACAGATAGTTAGATTTAGAATTAGTAACAGCATTAATCCATTAGTAAAAAGAATGAAAATCTGCGTATCCCAAATCGTAGAAGAGGTTTCATACAAAATAGCTGCAAAAAAAAGGTAAAAGCACAGTCATGGTTCAACATAACATTTTCTTGAATACATCCCTCCCTAGTTTTAAAGAAAATATATATAGTATAGATAATAGCTTTCTCTCTGCATTCTGTCTTCTAGTTGTTCACAGGGATACCACTCTTACTCAATGGCTGATAAGACAAGCTAAAGAGGTTTGAATGAGCTTACTGGTTGAAAATAAAGGGAAAGCAGTTGAGTCCTGACTTCTCTTGTTCAACAGCCCTTGCCAAGGCCTTCTGAGTCTTCTCAAGGGAGCAACCATAGAGGGCTGAAATTAGAGTAGCCTTAAAATTATGGTGAATAGTCCTTTAACCATGTGTTTTATTTCCTCTACAGCCTCTTTAGAGACAAAATACCTAAAACACAGTGAGGTATAAAACAACATGTTAGAAAGTCTTGAGGGAGAGTGAGGCAGGTAAAAGGGCTGAGGCTCGTGGAGGAAGCCAGGCAGAGACGGCAGCTCCAATTGCTGTTGGAGTGCTCTCGTGGAGCCTGTGCCCGGGCCCTTCAAGAGCTGGTTTACTTCCCAATTAAACAGGGTTGCCAGCAAGAGCAGGGGTGTGCTGGTTCACAAGGGAGGAGAAGAAATAAAACAATGAGCGATGAAGGATTTACAGGCATTTCTGAGATCACATAAACCAAAGTGGACATTTCTTCTGGATGCTGTTAGAAACTCTTACTTCACACGTGGGCCCCTTCAGCTTGCTTGCCTGCGAGGAGGCTGTTGAGAATCATTCAAGCCAGTTAAAGAAATTGCCAAAAGTAAGTATCTGAAACACAAACACTAGCTCAAAGTGCTTGGAACACAATAACCATCGCAAAGTCCTTACTTCTTTTCTCCTTTGTACCATTCAAAGGCCGGAGGCGGTACGCCTGCACCCTCACATCTTATCAGTCCACTGCGTCCGGTGGTCACGGTGCCAGATTTAATTTCCTGAATTGTAGGAGCAACTGAAAAAGCAAAAGAAAACAAATAAATTGTGGGTAAATTAAAATAATCTTCAGCAGAAATGTAACACGTGTATATTTCCATTCCTTTTATATTCAAAGTAATCTTACGCCTGGTGGGCCAATGCATCACATTTTCCGTGTTTCATCCTTCTAATAAAAGACTAGTCAGTCACTTTCAGCCTCATTTTTCAAGTTGGACAATAGATGAATGTTCCCAGGAAGTGTAGAGTAAATGCAATACATTTGGGCCTTGCTTCCTATTGGAAAATGGCACTGATGAGAGAAACACTTCATCTGTTCTCTAGTCAAATTGCACTCCGATAATAGCTCTCATTTACTGAGTGCTCACTGGGAGCTAGTCACTGGGCTAGGTGATGATTTGTTCATGATTTCCTCACAGCAATACTCTAAGCTAGATGGCATTATCCCAATTTTACAAATGTTAAAAACTGCAAGAAACTCAGAGAGGTTAAGTAATCTATCTAAGATCACACAGCTGCTTGGTTGTAGAATTGGGTTTGAAGTCAGGCAGGTTGATTCAAAAAGCCTGAGATCTTTCAATATTTTGTGGGTTTTTTCTGTCTGCTCCCCATGTGTTAGCTCTTTAGAGATTTTTTTTTTGCTGTGGTTTCTTCTGCTTGAAATACTATTCTTCCTCATTTCTACAGTTCAAGCACCAACTTAGGTGTCACCATCTCTAACTCCTTCCCTATTTCTCTGGCTGGAAGCAGTTTTCCCTTCTCTAAGTAGTTGTTATAACTCTCTCATAGTAAACTGTCTGTATCTTGTAATTGTTTATGAGTAGCTCAGGCTTCCTTGTTAACTTCCTAAAGGCAGGTACAGAGCTGATTCAATCTATATATTCAGAGACCAGAGCTCAAAGCATGGCACAAACGGACACTTGAAATGTTTTTTATAATATGGCCATTCCTTTATTTATCAGATAATTATTGAGCCATCAATAATTGTCAGGTTTTTCTTATGGCCCAAAGCAGTTAAACTTTCTGATGTGATAAAGTGGGGGGTGGGGTGGGAAGGCAGTATAAGCAGTATACAGTCTAAATGAGTAATTTCCATATAGTAAAAATACAGCAAGGTAAGAGAAAAGAGAGCAAAGAATAAATTACAATCTTATGTAGGGTAATTTTATTAGGACTCATTGAGAAGGTAAGGTTAAGAAAAACAGATATAAATGAGTGACTTCACAATGTGGCTATCTGGATAAAGTTTTCCAGGAAAAAGGAAGCAGTTTGCAGTAAGGCCCTGAGGCTGAATCAAGCCTGATTTGTTTAAGAAGTACCAGGGGGATCAGCGTGGCCAAAGCAGAGAGAAACAGAGAGAGGAACAGGAGATGGAGTGTGGGGGTAATTCTGTGTCAGGTGGACTGGGTCACAGAGTGTCCAGTTATTTGCTAAACAAGATTTTTTTGATGTGCCCATGAAATATTAGCATTTGAATTGGTACACTCAGGGAAGCATACTGCCCTCTCCAATGTGGATTCACCTCATATGATTCCTTAGGTGACTGAAGAGAACAGGAGGCAGAGGAAGGGAGAAATCACCCTTTATCTACCTGACTGCTGAGCTAAGACCTCCTCCAGATGGCTATTGCCCCATTGGCTCCCCTGGTTCTCAGCTTTCAGACTGGGACTGAACCGCACCACTGGCTCTCCTGGGTCTCCAGCTTATACACATCAGATTGTGGGACTTCTCAGCCTGTATAACACATGAGTCAATTCCTCACAACATAATCTCTTTACCTATATCTAGATATGCATACATATGTGTATGTGTGCATATGCATTTGACCTTTGGACATCATAGGCATGGACTGCATGGGCCCACTTACATGCAGATTTTGTTCAATAAATATACTGGAACATTTTTTGGAGATTTTCTTAGTACTGTGAAATAAATGTATCTTACATTAGGCTACCATCAGGCAATCATATTCCTGCTTCTTTATTATCAATGCATGAATCATTACACCTGTATATCAATATGAATTTATTTTTTCACATTATTTGTTCATTTTTGATGAAAGTAAGTAATATGCACACCATCTATAGTGTTTTCTATCATATAAAACAATATTGATATTCGTGCTGACAGCAGATTCATCTTATAAACAAATGATGTAAACTTATGAACCAATAAATAGAGTATGGTAGTATAAATGTATTTGTTTTCTTAAGATTTTTTTATGCCCATCAGTAGTAAATGAATGGATCCAAAAACTATGGTACATTTACACAGTGGAATTCTATGCAGCAGAAAGAAAGAAGGAGCTCCTACCCTTTGCAACAGCATGGATGGAATTGGAAAGCATTATGCTGAGTGAAATTAGCTAGGTGGTAAAAGACAAATACCATATGATCTCACCTTTAACAGGAACCTAAACAGGAAGACAAACAAGCAAGGAAAATATAACAAAAGACACTGAAATACAGAACAGGCTGACAGGGACCAGAGGGTAGAGGGGAGAGAATTTCAGGGGAAAAGGGGAAGGATTCACAGGAACAAGTATAAAGGATACATGGACAAAAACTAAGGGGGTGGGGAAGGGGAGGGAGGTTGGTAGCACTGGAGGGGGTGGGCTGGGATGGGAGTAAAAGACAGAAAACTGTACTTGAACAATAATTAAATTAAAAAATTTAAAAAAGATTTTTTACATCCATACATTTTTTCTTTTTTTAATTGAGTATATTGGGGTGACATTGGTTAATAAAAATATAGAGATTTGAGGTGTACAATTCTATAATACATTATCTGCATACTGATTTGTACGCTCACCACCCAAAGTCAAGTTTCTTTCTGCCACCACTTATCCCACTTTTGCCCTCCTCTACCTCCCCCTACCAACTGCACTTTCCTTCTTCTGGCAATCACAATATTGTTTTTTTGTTTTGGGTTTTTTATTTTTATTTTTTTGCTTACTACCTTTGCCTTTCTCACCCAGTCCCCCAACCTGCCTCCCCTCTGACAGCTGTCAGTCTCTTCTCTGTATCTAAAAGTCTGTTTCTACTTCATTTGTTAGTTTTTGTCTATTAGATTCTACATATGGGTAAAATCATATTGTGCTTGTCTTTCTCTGCCTGGCTTATTTAACTCAGCATAATACACTACAGGTCCATCCATACTGTCACAAAGGGTAAGATTTCCTTCTGTTTCACAGCCAAGTAGTATTCCATTGTGTAAATGTATCACAGACTTTTTTATACACTCACCTACTGAAAGGCACTTGGGCAAATGTGAGATCTTGGCTATTTTAAATAATGCTGCAAGAAGAAGTATATATATGAATTGTATTTCCTTACACATGAGTCACATGTTTAGCTACCCTATGTCTTTTTATTAGATAACTTACAGTATTTACATTTAAAGTGATTTTTATAGGTGTGCATTCATTGCCATTTTATTCTTTTAACTATGCCTTTCTCTCTCCTTTCTTTCTCTCCTTCCTTCCTTCCTTCCTTCCTTCCTTCCCCTCCCCCCTCCCCTCCCCTCCCTCCTCCCCTCCCTCCCCTCCCCTCCCCTCCCCTCCCCTCCCCTCCCCTCCCCTCCCTCCCCTCCCTCTCCTCTCCTCTCCTCTCCTCTCCTTTTTTTTTCTTCTTACAAAAGGCCTTTTAACATTTCTTGGAATACTGGTTTGGTGGTAATGAACTCCTTCACTTTTTTTTTCTTTTTTTCCTGGAAAGTTCTTTATTTTGCCTTCCATTTTAAATGATAGCCTTGCTGGGTAGAGTAGTCTTGGTCATAGGTCCACAATTTTCATTACTTGGCATATTAAACGCCAATCCCTTCTTGCCTGAAGTCTTGCCCCAGTGTGACTGGGGTTGGGAGGACAAGGCTAGTGGGTCTGCTGCTTGGGGGCAGCATGGTCAGGAACTCAGTGGGAGGGGGAAGTGGCCCCTTCTTTAGAACCACACCACTTAGTCTCTGCCATAGTCTCTAATCCTAGCTCTTCCAGGAATACACTGCATGTTCAGGTTGGGTGAAGCCAGTCGGCCCCTCTACGAGGAGGAAGCTTAGCAGGAAAGGGTCAGCAGGACTTGGGAGGTCAGATCACAAGAGTCTTCTAGGGAGAAAGTGGTGCCAGCTAAGCCTACAGTGAGTACAAAAATGTCTCCTCCCTCTAAACCTCAATTGTACCTTCCATGGAGACATGCTTCAAGGTTCCAGGTCTGTGTAGCACTCCCATTCACCTGTATGACTGAGTTCAGCAGGGAGGGGACACAGAGAGTACAAGGACAGGTAAAGTGATTTAAGGTGGGGGGTTGTGTACACAAGGTTGGGAAGAATGACCCCTGTTCCAAAGCTAAACTGTTCAATCATTGTCTCAGTCTCCACCAAGATATTCTCCAGAAAAAAAGCACCCAAAGTTGCAGCCAGCAGACCTTTCTGCAGGATTCAAGTTCAGCTGGCTGCTGTCACTGGTAGTTGGAGGTTGTGCATTCACCAGGCTTGTCCTATAACAATAGGAGTGCTCAACCCTGGGAAGATAGCTTTTGGGTCACTCGCAGACGCTCTTCTCTCCCAGACAAACTCACTCCCCACTGATTTCCATCTCCAGATGCTTTGCCGACTCCTCGTATGTCCCTGGTACTCTAGGTTGGAGATCCTGGCATGGTCTCGAGGCCCCATACTCTGTGGACTTTTGCAGCTGAAATATCCCTTTGGCTTGTCAGCCACCACACATGGGTGTGGGGCCTACCATTTCCATTTATCTACCCTTCTTTCTAGTCTCTATGCAACTTTTTCTGTAAATCCTTGGTTATAATACTTCTGTTTAGCTAGCCTTCAGTTGGTTACTCAGGTTGATTGCTCTATAATGTAGCTGTAAATCCAGTTTGATGTCTGGAGGATGTGAGTATATCCATCTACTCCACAGTTATCTTAGAATCTCCCTTATGATTTTTTAATAACATTTTCTTTTCTCTAGCTTACTTGATCATATAAATACAATATATAATACATATAACTTATAAAATGTATATTAAA